CTTAAATAAAACTGGTTTATTCTTTTTGAATATAACTTTGCTATACACTTAATTTCAACAGTCGCACTATAACAAACGTCTCATGTGCTCAACTTCAACAATACTCAGTTCAATTACACACTCTCTGATTGCAGTTCAATTACTCATTGTTCTGTCACGTTGTGACCGTCTTATATATATACCAGACTACCCCCAATCTAGTAGTCTCCCGACAATTCACGAAGGAACAGGATATTTCTAGAAGGAGGTGGCATGATACTAGTCATGTGACCTCGCTGATGCAACAATATCCAACTTAGTGGAATAAAGTGAGACCTAACACAATTACTCTACAAGTACAAAAACTACACATTTTGTTAACAATAGGTGGCTAATGGTCTCTTGCTGTGATTTATTGAATTTGATGAAGATCCAAAGTATAGACAATAAAAACTTAAAATGTCACAAAATGATACATTCAAAGGAAAAGGCAATGATTAAATTTATTTAATCTTTTTCAAATTCTCATTTTACTGTACATTGATGATATCACTACACTTACAAAATTTTAATGAAATTCTTTTGATAATAATTCAGGAGGTTCTAGATGAATGAAAATAAAATATAAAAACTCTGAGATAAAAATAAGTACTTTTATTATTCTTAATATGAAAATCACCTTTTACTCAGCCTGACTCAGTAAAAGACTTTATAAATTTATAGACCAAACTTTAGTAAAAAGACTTTATTAAAAAATCTGACTTTTGTGTACAAGATTTGTAATGTCTACTTAAATTTTGTTAAATTATGTGAAGATACACTTAGTGAATTCAGAGTTCTCACATATTTAGTTTCAACATTTTGGGGTTTGGTCCAATGGATCAAGCCGGAGAGAGCTACCTCCAAACTGTTTGCCATAAACTCCATAACGGTAAGGTTATATAAAAGTCTGTAACCTCCAATTTCATTTAAATTCATTATTTGTCCTAAAGTGTTTTCCACACTAAATGAAACTTTTACTTGTCAACTGTTTTATGCAAACTCTATAATAGGGAAGTCTCTCACCAGTGTGTGTTCTTTGACATATTTATAATTTAATATTTGTTTGAAACTGTTTATCAGAAGCTACACAACTGTACGGTTTCTTCACCATATGTATTCTTGGAAAGATTTTAAATGACTTACTTGTATCAAAGTGTTTATCACAAGCTACACAACTGTACAGTTTCTCCACAGTGTGTATTCTTTCACACACTTTTAAATCAGTTTACTATAAACTGTTTTCCACACACTATACACCTGTAAGGTTTCTCCCCAGTGTTGTCTTCCCTGACACACTTTTAATTCAGTATTTGTTCCAAAGTCTTTTCCACAATTTTTACAACAGTACAATTCTCCCCAGTATGTATTCTTTGATGAATTTTAAAGTATTTACTAGTCACAAACTGTTTTCCACACACTGTACAACTGTAAGGTTTCTCCCCAGTATGAATTCTCTGATGCACTTTTAAATCACTGTTTACTACAAACTGTTTTCCACACACTATACAACTGTATGGTTTATCCCCAGTATGTCTTTTTTTATGTATTTTTAAAGAGGAGTTACTTCCAAATTGTTTTCCACAAACTTCACAACTGTATGGTTTCTCTCCTGTATGTGTTCTCTGATGTTTTTTTAAGTTACAGTTACTTACAAATTGTTTTCCACAAACTGCACAAGGGTAAGGTTTCTCCCCAGTATGTATTCTCTGATGTATTTTTAATTCATTGTTTGTCCAACACTGTTTTCCACAAACTGCACAAGTGTAAGGTTTCTCTTCGGTGTGTATTCTCTTATGTATTTTTAAGTAACAGTTACTTCGAATTTTTTTTCCACACACTATACAACTGTACGGGCTTCTCCTCAGTATGTCTTCTTTGATGCACTTTTAATTCAGTATTTGTTCCAAAGTCTTTTCCACAAGTTGCACAACAGTAAGGTTTTTCACCAGTGTGTATTCTT